CGTCACACAGAACAAAAAACATGAAGATGAAATAATACTGAATTATTAAAGACACAAAGGAGTGTGTAAGTCAGAAATCAATTGCTCTGACGCATACGCTGCTTGATTTATGGGGTAACTGTCCTACAAACATGTTACTTCTTGGTGGTTGCTTACTGAAATCTCCAGTCGTGAGTTTTTTAGATAAATTATGAGGAAAAAAAAGTTCAGATATCTCAGAGCCACCTTGCTCTTTGCCCCCAAACACAGAAGAAACCGTCAAAGACTTGAAGTGTTTATTTTATTATTTGAAGCATTTTTATCAACATAAAAACTCACCAACGTGAATGAATATATTAATGAGCATTTCGTCCTTCACTCCACAGACAGTTGCCTTCGAGTGTCTACAACAATATGTACACATCATTACACAAAACACCTCACAACATCGTCCTGGCCTGTGGAGGGCGGTTTGAGAACCTTCACGAGGAGACGGAGTTCTTGCTTGAACGAGGGGGGATTAACTCGGATTAGCCAAATTACTATGAAGGTGTCTAAAGCTAGATTCTGCTTTCATCTTTTATTTTTGTCAGTTGTGTTTTTTTGTTTTTTTAAATAATAATATATACACACTTTTCCCTGCTCTCTTAGTTAATGCATAATATTTCAGTCACGGTGAAACATTATGTGACAGTGATCTGCCGAACAACGCTGAGTCAGTGAGCTGGTTTGGTCCTTCACAAATGAATTGTCTGGCGTCGTAACACGTGATCAAAGTGAAACCTCTCCTGAACTCTCGTGGAAAACTGCAAGAATTTAACTCCCTTTAGATAAAGTGACACAGTTACGGGTTTCAAGTCATCTTAAATATATATATAGAGAGAGAATTGTAAGGATCCCGAACACAGTATTTACCCTCCGTTACCATCTACTCCTGATGAAGAACAAACAAAAAGCGTGGTCATTTGTCTATTACAAAACAGAACGTGAGTTTGACATTGAACGTGGTGACACATCACCTCACAACAGAAAAGCGCTGGATATCTACTTCATGAAAATGTCATTTTTGCCGTTACACACTCAGTCACACACACAAACACACACACGAGTTTTCCATGAGCCATCTGAACTGAGGATGCTCTGAATACAGCAGTTGAGCTTCTTCCAGGCTGTGTCTGTGTGTGTTCCAGTGATTAGACACAGCCGGGAATCCGCAGTGGTAGCCACCAGGAAAAATCCCCCATCATGCATCTGTCCTGCTACTGTCCTCCAGTGGGGCCTTCCTGCAAGCTGGTCTTAGCTTCGATTACATCTGGACTTGGATTAGACCCATACATGTGACCTAAAATATGTATTAACCAATGGGGTTGTCTGTCTGGTATGATGCGGATCGGTTGGTTCCGAGGCGTTTTCTGTCTCTGATTAAAGGGGCACTCCACCAATTTTACACATCTAGTTCGGTTTACTCGTCACAGGAGGCACTACTCAGCTGTGAAAACCAGAGTCTGACCAATACCAGTTTTTAGGGAGTAAAAAAATTCCAATATTCTTACATGAGATGATTTTCTTCTGTGTATACACTCTGAACTGTTAGAGAACATTATGGGCTCGTTGTTTATCAGCTTTGAAGCAGAGGGTTTCATAATCTAGTTTAGACACAGCTCGACTCCGCACCACCATCTGCTCAACTGCATTCTCTGCTACATGTGCTGCAGACAGTGTGTTGTGAACAATGGAGTCAGAGAAAAGTAATGACACTGTTTCCAAACTACCTCAGGCATCTTTTCTTCTTCTTTTTTGTAAATCGATGCATATTGGACAACATGTACATCGATACTAGTCTATCAGGGGTAGGCCAGCATCAGCCGGTATTTTGTCAGGCTCTGGTGAAAACAGCTGTACAATGTCTAATGTTGCTCTGGAGTGAACAAAGTCCGAAAAAAAGAACCCAGATGATGCCAAAGTGATGACAAATTGTGAACAGAAAATTTTACAACCAGGTGTGGAGCTCAGAAGACGTGAGCGTATACCAGGGGGAAGAATCCACTGTAAAGTCGCACTATGAGACGTGATTAACTGGTGTTAGAACATCACCCATCAGGACTAACAGTCAGGCTGTCCCCGCATCTGCTGCATCAGTTTTCTTAAGCTTCCTCACGTTACATAAAAGCTGGAGTGCCCCTTTAAATTTAAGGTCAAAGAAACAACATGAAAATCGTCCAATTTAAACATAATAAACGTTAGCAGAACTCCAATTTATCAACACGGACAACACGAAAAGAATAAATAATACAAAAATATACACATTTCAGCCTTCAACGTCGCTCATCAGTCGAACACAGTTTGTACGTTTTGTCAGTCTTGATGTGTGTATTCTTGGCCAACACATTTTCAGCAGGACGATGTGAATGAATGAATGGAGCAGATCAAATATAAAAGGAGACACTCACACGGGTGTTTATAACGACTCAGTCTAAATGATCAAACTGCTAGACCACTCACTTCCTCGATAAAACCCTCAGAAATAGCACCACAAACGGTTGAATATGGGATTCCTGTGATGGCTACAGCTGAACTGTGGTACAGTAGTTTCCTGTCCCTGTATGTACATTTATAGCTCCACACTTCACAGACATCCTAACATCTGTCCATGCACTCTCATTTTCTCACAAGTGTAGAAATAGAAATGGCAAATTATTCCATAACCAACGTTAGCTCTGTTGGAAAGGTGTTTTCTTGTAAGGTAGTTTGAAGTTAAGTGCAGTAAGCGACAGCTACATCTAAATTTGTGTACAGATCACGACGTGTGATGACCAGAGTTCTTTGGTAACTCTTTTTTTTTTTTTTTAGCACTGTGCCTATTCACAACTCTGATGTTGGCTAAATGGTTTGTTTTGTTGAGAAAAACAGGCCTCAGATCAGATGAAGGTTCTCCTTCTTCGGAGGAAAAAAAAAAAGACATTAAATACATCTGATGGATTGAAAATGAACAAATAATGAAGGACAAAAATGAAACACACCTCTAAGAGATCGACCATGTTAATCTACTTTTATGTCGTTTTTCGTATCTACTTTACGCTCATCTTGTCAAAAACAGATTGTTCATTGTGTTTTCACTGACGTATTTCCTTTTTACGAGCCTCCTGTTTCAATATCTAACCTGCAAACACCTGCTGTCCTTTACTGCCTTTGTGTCTCTCTGCTCTTTTATCACCTTTATGACTTCACATTTGCTTTATCACTCTGCAGACATTAAATATAACCGACACATCAGAGCTTTGTATTTATTTAAGTTTACCAATAAACCTTTTTACTTTCTCCCTTTCCATTTTTCTCACAGTTTTCCCTGTTGCTACTTCCCTCAGTCAAACAACTTTTGTGTTTTTAATCTAATTTTAATGAATGCCTTCTGACTAATCTCTGCTAAAATATCAGCTAAATATCTGGTTAAATATTTATAAGCGATTTTTAAAAAGGCACTTTGCATGTTTTGTCCATCTAAGAAGGAAGTGATAGGGCCTTGGACTGATTAGAATTAAAATGAGGGGGAAATATCAATTACTGTAGCACTGATCTGAACAAAACAAGTGACTCTAAAGGGAAGGGGCGCACTCAGCAGTTTGGCAATGTGAATGGGCAACACTCCGCAGTAACGGATGTCAAGCACAGGGTAAACTGCATTTACACGTTTCCTGGCAACAAGTTGTTCCTCTGTGAGAACAGCAACAGCGCCGAGGCAATGTTACCCCACTGAGCCTCCACAAAGACGTGCAGTGTATCACTAGCATGAGGATTAAAGGAGGACTCCAGCATGATTTGAGTGTTTGCTCGTTTGTTGTATATTTTCTATCCCTGTGATGCCGTCACCGTTTGCTAAAGCTTTGAGACAAGTCACATGAAAGCAGCGCCAGGCAGCCAAAGTATTTTCACTTCAGCCTCATCCACGGCTGAGTAAAAGGAAAAATAATCAGGATTATAAATTCTGAGTCAGTCAGTTGTGAGAATGTTGTTTTTTTTAGAGAGAGGTTCTGTGAGGCTTTGCAGTGAAGCTAAGTGCTAACAGCATGCTAACATTCTCACAGTAGCCGTGTTTCCATATAATTGTCAAATTTGACACCAACTTTTGAAATGTTGTGAACAATTAAATTAAAATAAGAGAAAATGAGAGTTGTGTCAAATAACTGCTTTGGAGCAAATCAACAAGGCGGCATTGTGTCGTCACAACCTGGAGGTTTCGGCGACGTTCTGCATGACTGTAATAAACCGTACAAAGAGCTGGAAACAAAATTATTTGTTTGCTAACTGCTAGGAAACCTTGAAGCAGAAGAAACAAGCAAAACTTTGGCATCTACTAGGAAAAAAAACAGTTGACAAGTCATCAGGAGCTGCAGTTATTGTTTCACTTCGGCTGCAAATGGCCATGTTTCATGGTGACTTGACGCGAAGACAAAAACCTTCTGTTACTCTGACAGCATCTGAGTGTGTCGGCTTCATGTCTAAATGAGCATCCTGGGTACTTTTCCATAAACGTCACAATGACAGCAAATTCCAAATCAGCAATCTATGTGGATCAAGGTGGTGGATCAGCCAACCGTTGGGCCGCGCTGCTCGCTTTATCAAATACAGTAAGACTTGCCTTTAACCGTGTGGTACATAAAATGCCGTAACCCTAAACATTTGTACAGTTTTGATGCCAATTGAGCTTTTTTTTGAGGATCCATGGCTCCTTCCCTAACTTGCATTTTCCTAATAAGAACCTGCACCAGCTGCATCTCTACTAGTTGTTGCTCTTGACAAAGCAGACGGCTGATGCTGAGGTTACATCAGATTAACCAAAACAAGCTGCTTCCAATCAAGATTTTTTTTTTTCACAATTTAAACACAAATGTCTGCAGTTGTGAATACACAGCAAAAAGTGAACAAACACACTCAAAGTCATGCTGGGACTTTCCTTTAAGAATATGGGCTACTGCGGCTGAGGCGTTCCTGTTCTTGCCCAGAGTGTGACTACAGTGTATAGAGCTTGTCTTCAATACCAGAGATCCATCAGAGCTAAATTAGCCACCAGTGTAGAAACTATAGACGTGAAGATGTCGAAGCAGTGATTTGTATTCAAGCCTCATTCCCACCGTCATCGTTAGGCAGTAAAAAAATCATCTCCAGAAGCAATATGCCGCTGAACATGCAGATATGCTGATTTAGTGTCCTAGTTAGTGAGCTGGCCTGAGAGCTATGGCTAAAGACGGCACGTGTATACGATATAAACAACCGAGGTAATGCGGTAACGCTCCTTAATTTCCGAGCTCTTGGCGTTCTTGCGGCGGCTGAGCAGACCTAAATAACTTGTGATGAGGGTTAAATTTAGACTGAGAGGCTGACAGCGCAGCCTTCAGCACCAGCGGGGCTCCAGGGCCCGACCCTGTGTCCGTAAACGTCTGTGTGTTTCTCCGTGACACTGCCTCCCCGTGTGAGCGTGTCAGGCCTTCCCTGCCTTCATGTATGTGGGGATGGTGCCTCGCTGGGTCAGACCCTCGAAGCGTTTGTACGTGTAGTTGAGGAACACCCAGTCCTTCGATTTGAAGTCTGGCTCCGTCGCGTTGGCTGTTCACAAACACAAAAAAAACAAAAGTAGGGTTTTTAAAATTCTAAATACCACACGGGGGCACCACAGAGCATCCAACCCCTGCACATGTTTACAGTCATTATCGTATTGAGAGCAGCTACAGCTTACATAAATAAAAAATATCACATTTAATTTGTTTGCAGCTCAATAACAGCTCTTTTGTTGACAATCTGCATGACTCATCTGTGGTTTGTCATGCTGTCTGAATCTGACTCAGGGCTAATGTTCCTAATCAGGGGTGTTCCTGCAGTGCAGCTAGCGAGTATTTCATAGGACAAACCTGGCTGAAGGATGTCCGATTCAGGGAAGTCGTCGAAGTTTGAGGTGTCGTCGATACTCTTGATTTCAATAGAGATGGCGGCTGGCCGCTCCCTGCGGAGGAACCGAGACAGAGATGATGTTACATAATTAACACGGGCGTCTGAGGGATTGTGTTGCCCTCAAAGTGGAGTCACTTTTCTTGTTTTTCTACCTGATGTGCTCCCAGTCCACCGACTCAAAGAACTGATGACTCTTGATCTCCTCCACGCTCACAGCTCCGACCCTGTTCTCAGCGTCTGTGCAATACCTGAAACACATAAACAGTGAATAGATCATAAAACTGGCAGATGAACCTTTACACAGAGATAACTGTGACTGAGGGAAATAACTGCAACATGTTTGGCATTTGTGTGAGACTGGAAAAGAGTTCTCGGAAGAACTGAGAAGTGATTAGAAGTGATTATACTGTTCCAATTAGCGTGACAGCGTTCCAGCATATACTGCACACTTATTAGTTTATAGTCACACACGCCTGCAACAAAATTTAATCATCATCCTAAATCATTTATTGATGAACCACTTATGAAATGACAGAAAATGCTGGAAAACATTCATCACAGTTTACCAGAAAAGCACTTTCTAGGCTTTTAACAATCAGTTCACAGTGAAACTAACAGAAAAAAAAGCCTCAAATCTTCACTTCTGATGAGCTGGAATCAGAATGTTGTTAAAATCAGTCTAAAGAATAAGAGACTAATTTACTAACTGTTTCACTTCAACATGCAAATAAGCATTACTTTAATATCAAGTCTTTGGCCCTCTCTGATATGGGGACTTCAGGTGGGAAGACGAGCGTTTCCTTCCAGTTCATAACCTTCCTGTACGTCTCCTGCGGCGTCTCCGAGCAGAAAGGTGGGTAACCTGGAAACAAGCAGAAAGCAGATTTTTAAACATCGTGGTACGGTGTCATCTTCAGAAGTTGGAAATACTGTCTGGAGGATAACTGTGGCAGCTGGATAGTTTAATTTCACTTTCATAATCATATCCTTACAGCTGTTTGGTCACTACACATGTGCCAACCCAACAGCTCCCTCGAGCCTACTTGCAGTTTTTTCATTGACAACAGATGTTTGGTTTTTTTACACAAACTTTTCAGCATTAATGTGATAAAACATTAAAATATAGTAAATCATATGACCAAAAAACTGCTGTGCCCAACCACAATGCTGCTTCTGACTATCTATAAATGTCTAACTTGTTTGCTTGTGTCAATTTCATCAGTCAAATCATTTCAAAATATTAGTGTACATATATATGTATATTACAGTCTTATATTCAGACAAGTGCATGCTTACCGATGAGCATTTCATACATGATCACACCCAGAGACCACCAGTCACACAGCTTGTTGTACCCCGTCTGCATGAAAACCTCAGGAGCGATGTAGTCTGGCGTTCCCACAGTGGAGTAAGCCTGAAGGTCACACAGAATTATGGGAGGTGAGGACTATAGGTAGGAATATATATATAAATCCTATACTTCAACCATAAAATCTGAAATGTGTTCCACTCATGTCAAAAGTACGTCGACCAAGACTCAGAGGCTTTATGTGTTTCTGGAAAATTCAGTAAAATCCTAAAGTCATACCAACTGCCTCCGGTTCTTCTTCCAGGTCTCTGCTTTCCTCTTGGAGTTCATATTTTGAAAGGCTGAAAGACATGGAAAAGGAACAAGAGTAGAAAAATATGACCTTAAAAGTGACTCCAAACCTCTTGATTCGCATCTCAAAGTTTTCAGATCAAGCTAATGGTGGAAGTTGGTACTTATAATTGTGCACATTTAGCACCTTACTGCTTGGATTTTCTTGTAGACATTAAACGTGCGACTTACAGAAATCACTTGGCGGGTTGTGCGTCAGGTTCCTGTAAAACTCAGTCCGATGAGCCTTCTTGAGTCCCGTACAAAGGCCAAAATCTGACAGTTTCACGTGTCCCTATGAGCAAATACACATTTAATAAGTAAGTAAAGTTAGGAAATTTCTCTCTGCATGTCTTTTTCCTTTCATGTTGAAGGTCACAGCAAAAAAATGTGTGCACGTGTTCTCACTCTGGAGTCCAGCAGCAGGTTGTCTGGTTTGATGTCTCTGTGGATGAAGCCCAGCTGGTGGATGGAGTCGATGGCCAGAACCGTCTCTGCTATGTAGAACTGCGTGGCCTCTTCAGACAGAGTGTCCTTCTTCATCAGCAGCGTCATCATGTCGCCTGGCAACAAGGTCAGAACTTTTAGAAAAAGCCACCCACAGTATTTTTTTTTTTCTCCAAATAAAAATCCCTCTCAGCACATCTGACGTTTGAAATTCATCACAGGACATCAGGAAAACACAGAGTTTTGAAAAGCAGTCCACATCGAAAAGCCGACATGTTAACAGCAGAAAAATATAAACGCCATTTGTCATCCTCACTCAGAGAGCTATTATCAGTCTGAAGGTATCAGTACAAACCTCCAGGTAGGAACTCCATGATGAGGTAGAGGTTCCTCTTGTCCTGGAAGCTGTAGAACATCTTGACCACCCAGGCACCGTCCGCCTCCACCAGAATATCCCTCTCCGCCCGGATATGAGCAACCTGCAGGAAGAGGGTAGAGAAGACATTTACAGTATGAGGTGATGATCGCAGCAGCGGCAGTTTTAACAGATTAAAATGTCTCAACATCCTTGAAAACTGTGACGCTAACAAAACATTACCTGTTCTTTCTCCAGCATGTCTGCTTTCCTCAATATCTTCATGGCATAAATGTGTCCCGTGTCTTTCTTCTGTACCAAACGCACCTGAATGAGACGAAATCACAGTCAAAATCACAAGTAGGTTTTTGACTGTAACCTAATTGTGATTCCTTCACTTGAAGGCAGCGTATAAATATACAGATTTGAAAGTATAATATACAGGAAATGAAATTCACACTGCGGCAGCACTGTGGTAGAAGTCTTCAGAGTCATGGTAAAAAAAAAAGCACAAGTGAAGCCACACATACTTCTGACGGCCTTGATTCGACTTCTAGCCGTCAATTTTGAATAAAAGTTCACAAAAGCTTCTTTTAACGTACCTCTCCAAAAGCGCCTCGTCCGATGACCTTAAGAGACTCAAAGTCGTCCAAGCCCAGTCGCGTCCTCTTCAGTCGCAGAAACTCAGTCTCCTTACGGGCATGCTGAGAGCGCCGCATTACTTTCTGCAAAACACAAAGTGACACCGCGTTACCTTACAAAAAAGACAAAGACGACTAAAAAAAGAACTTTTACTGCAACAGTTTAATATCTGGGCTGCAAGGTGGATCAGTGGTTAGCACTGTTGCCTCGCAGCAAGAAGGTCTCTGGTTTGCGTCCCGGTGAGCACACCAGGGATCTTCCTGTGTGGAGTTTGCATGTTCTCCCCGTGCAGTGTGGGTTCTCTCCAGGTTCTCCAGCTTCCTCCCACAGTCCAGAACCATGTTGAGGTTAATCGGTGATTCTAAATTGTCCGTAGGTGTGAATGTGAGTGTGCTTGGTTGTCTGTCTCTAAGTGTAGCCCTGTGATAGACTGGTGACCTGTCCAGGGTGTCTCCTGCCTTCGCCCTGAGTCAGCTGAGATAGACTCCAGCCCCACATGATCCCAGTGAGGATTAAGCGGTGTATAGATAATGGATGGATGGATTGTAATATCTACAAGTGAGAAGACAAAGCACACTGTACCTCCTCATCTGGTAAACCCTCTTCTTCCATGGCCTTCTCCAGCTTCTTCTGCCTAGAAATGGAAAACAAATAAAATGTGGTCTTTAAAAGGCTGCAGAAACATCACAAAAATTCAACTGTTAGTGGTTGTTTGTTGTTTTTAAATTGGGAAATGTTGAGGCAGAAACAACAAAAGAGAGACAATATGACCTGGAACACGTCAGATCTTGACAGCTGGATGTAAACACTGGATCAGCTGTCTTTTACAGGAGGCTCTAAGCCATGTTACCTGGACTGGAGATCAGTTCTCAGGTAACATGAGAAGACAAGTGGTAGCTTATGAGATGGCCTTTGTTGTGCTCACACCTGGGATGAACTAGCTCTGTACTGTTACCTTTTCCAAGCCTGCACAGAGTGTCATTTGATGCTTTAAACAAGTGCTACATTTATATGCAGAGTGTAACTGAGGTAAAGGTCAGGAACAGCTTCTACTGCATGAGCTGACTATTAAATGTACAATGGCCAAAAAGTAAAACAATAAACACTTTGTGTGTTGGAGCTGTTGTTAAAAAATGAAAGATTTTTATACTCATAAAGCTAAAGGATGCAATGAGCCGTGTCTGTTTCTGTACGTTTGCGTGGAGAAAGGATCAGCGCTTTGATATCAACGTGTACTTTAGTGCAGATTAGGGGGGAAAAATGCATTTCATTACTACTCAGGCAGTTTTACCTCATCTCGCGCTCCTCGTGCTGCGTGAGCAGAGTGCTGTAGAAGTTTTCCAGTGTCAGCTTGGCCACGGTCACCCTCTCTCGGGTGTGGTTGCTCATGGGAAGGGCAGCTGCAGTCCCTCCCGTCATGGCCATACTATCCTGTAACAGAACAACGAAAGATCAGATTGTTCCCATTAGTCCATTCACCTGCAAAACCACTGTTTCACCCAGTGTGGTAGCTGTCTACACACGGCGGTCTGTGCTACTGATAAACTCTACAGTTGGCCTGTAAAAGATAAAGACAGATATGTGCTACCTCCCTAACACATTGTTTCAACAAATATTTGTTCTCTAAGCTCTCTAAGTCGGGTTTTACTGGGCGGCTGGGAGGTTTACAATAACATCAGGAGGCACAGACGCTTCCAGAAATTCTTTGTCAGTGCTGCATCATAAAAAAAACTTTGAAACATGAAAAAAAAACACCTGTGAACTTTATATCCTGTTCATAAATCTTTCTGAATTCTACGTGAACACGACAATGTTTCAACAACAAACTGTCCCCTCAGGTAAAGATGGCAGCATGAACACACCTGTATTTACACCTGAGCTACGACGACACATCACACATTGCCTGTGAACTGGACATCTGATATGACTGTAAGCATGTGAGGGTAACATGACCGATTATTTTATCATTGGGAGTCATCACACACAACACAGCGTGAATATCAAACAGAACAGCAGCTCTACTTGCACTGTGCATCCTGTCCTTCTCAGGTACAGGAAGGCTTTTTAACCAAAGCTTTATTCATGCAGCCATACAAGCTTTAAATAGGTAACCTGTTTGAGCTACAACAAAAGAAAATAATCAAAAACAACAGCCTGTGATGTGTTGTGTCAATGCGTGGATTTGTCTCGGTTGTGTGACCCCTGAAATTAAGTGTCCCTGGAAAACCTTTTGTCCAATTCTGTATGTAGTGCTTGTTTGTGTTATGTGTGCAGCCACTGTGGAAAAGAATGTCCTCGTTGAGCACAAACTACCTGCCCGTCTGCCTACCTGCGTGCCTATTACATCAACACTGCATTATAGCACCGCATCACATGCATACACCTACAGTAAAAAGTATACAGTTCTATATTGGTACATGCCTGCTTTTGAGCACACAAACATGCCTAATTTAAAGCCAAATACTATCTTGGACCTCGGTGCAGGTGTCCCACCAGAGCAGTGGTACAGAGACGGTTTACTAATTGGCAGCTATCAGCCGGATGCAAGAAGTTATCCTGGCACCACCTGCATGTCTGTCCTCAACAATATCTAGAGTGAGTCCGTTATCAGATGAAGCAACAGTCTAGTTGTGGATCTCAGTTTAAATCAGGGTGTCCAATGTGGCGGCAAAAGAGTTCAAAATGACCAATTTTGATCAGTGTTTTGAAAAAGGTTCGGTGCCGACACCGTCTACTCCAGTAAATGTAATTTGGTCACTACAGACCTGCTGTGACCTGGATATAAACTGAGCAGGACAAATTGACAAATCAATGTACAAACTATACAATGGACACACTTATAAAATCACCTCAGACATTTCCGCTAAACAATTCTTGTGCCTTGTTGGATGTCATAAATGTCAGTATAATATATTGGTAATTAGCTAATATTGGGGGCGGTAACAGCCAAGGCACTTAATCAGCATAGCTCTAGGGGGAAAAGAAGAGGCAGCAGTCACCGACACTGGCTTCAACCCGACACACAACACACTAAGGCCGGACTGAGACATCAGACTTTCATGTTTAAACATTGTCGAAGACTTCTCTTTGTGCCTCCAGGGCAGCGAGTTACTCAGTAATGATGCAAACGTTCTACTTTGATTCTGACAGTTGTGATTTGATTCTAAGGAGCCCAAACACGGTGAAAGTCTCCATGTCAGTGAGTGCAGCACTGGAACAGATACCTTCACCACAGACTAACAGGAGCTGCCAGATCCCTGCTTCAAAAATATTCTTGTAGCCTCAGAACAGGGACTGTGAATCATGTGCTGGATGGCTCATGATCTGCAAGGTTTCATTCCAGGAACTTATCGGTGACATCTTCACAGACCTTCCTCAGCATGCATTCCTTCACATTTTTACAGTCTTGGATCAGACTGCCGAGTCTAAAACAAAAAGCAAACAACGAGAAGGACAGACGCATCCTGGAAATGTACTTGTCAGCTCCAGTGTCATTGGATGGTGGAGAATGAACAAGCCCATCATTTGTTTGCAAGGACACTGCATCACATCAGAGCTGCGCTTTAATCCAGATGAAACAGCTTGAAAATGAACAGCAGTTCTGTGATCGCACATTTGAGAAGTACTTTCTCTACAAGGCCACATATTGACATCTTGAAACCGGTGTGTAGCCCTCGAGTGGGAGGAATAAAAAACCACAGAGAGCGGAAGAAACACACACATACGAGTGAGGTGGAGGCCACAAGCAGTAGTAGGCTGTCGAAATAGAAAAACAAACAAGAACGATGACGTAAAAGCACTAAAAGGAGATGTTTCGTTTTATTTCTCTTGAATTAATCCAATATTGACAAAATCAGATTGTGAACGATTCACGTAAGAGACGGACAAAGAATGAGGGTGGATGTTTATCACCAAAACATTTTAGCAGCACGCCATCAAAAAGGTATGAATAGGCTTGATTGGCTGACAAAGAGATAAAACAGCGCTGCAGTCCAGAGATAGGAGCTGTGTTTCGTCTAGTCACCGGCCTTTTCCCGTTTTGGCCCCAACAATCCCATAACAACAAGACACTTCCTGACTCCTGACTTCTGAGGGGAAAAAAAATCTCTGAATAATTGCTGCACAATGCTTAGTTTGGAGGAAAACAGGGACACTGGCGAGCCATGGGGTATTGAGTTACTGAGGTGTGTGCTGATTTCCCTGCTTACAACACAGGTAGGAAGCTCAGCTCACCAATAACACTGAACAAACACAAAGCAGCACAAGCAGACCGTTGCAGTTGTGGTGCTCTCATGTAGACCACATGTGCTGTTACTAACTAAGGCCAAGACCCTCAATGTACTGTACATGAAAACATAGACATCACACTAAGCTAGAACAGACGCACAGCTTAACCAGGTACTGATGTCCTTTTTGATTAAAAACTGCTAATTTAGGTCACCCAGCAAGTGCAGAATGTGGCGTAGCGCACCGCTGTACAAATGTAGTTGTAGGACATTTTCTCTGTCACTTCAGCTTCTTCTTCGGTCACTGACTACCTCGACTACTCTGTGTGGTGCTTCATACTGGGGCTGGACTAAAAAAAAAATTAATGATATTACAGACACACACAGCATGTTGCACACTTTTCCCAAATAAATTTTAGTAAAATGTCAATATAGGTTGTCTTTAGGGAGTGAATGAAAACGCAGGTCATAAAGAGCAGTATGGTGCACTACCATTCTAACCATAAATTTATATTTTAATGACACCTTCACAAATATAAAGATTAAATATTCTTAATACTGGCGACCTGTCCAGGGTGTCCCCTGCCTTCGCCCTAAGTCGGCTGGGATAGACTCCAGCCCCCCCGCGACCCTAGTGAGGATTAAGCGGTGTACAGAAAATGGATGGATGGATATTCTTAATGCAGTACAGCCATGTTTCCCTTATTAAGGGTATTTAAAGAGAAATGTGCTGTGTAGCTTAGAAAATATGTTTGTAAGGCGATGTCATTATGAAGCTGATGATGCAGGCCTCTTTGTAACAGACACTTTAACATCACTACAGTCAGAGAAGGAAAGGCACCAGTGTTACTGATAAGACAGCATACACAATAACAGGGTCGTGTTCCTCGAATGTGGCTGAACTAAATCAGGCTAACGTGCTGTTATTAGGCTAAAACAATTCTGTTAATTGTCATTAACTCAGTTTCTTTAAAGTAGTTTGAGGATTGAGTTGTGAATTCTTGATCATTCTGAATGAGTTACATTTAAATCTTTAGCCAGCTTTGAAAAACAAATAAAACAAAAGAAAAAAACTCATGTCAAAGCAGCAGCAATCTAATTTGAATAACCAAATTAGCCACATACAAAAAAACTTCCGCCAACATGTTCTTTTCCTGCTGACATCATCTCAGAACATCTTCCGTAAAAAAGGCCTCACAGGAACAGCTGTAGCTTTGTCCTCAATGAGTTTTGTGCTTGTTTTCTCACCAAGGTGGAAAATGAAGCATCATTCAAACAGTTGCATCACAGCTGAGACAGCCAGGCCTTAAACTGTGCCTTAAGGGATTGAGTTTGGCATGAAGTTAACCAGATCCACCCAATAGCTAAACAAGGCTGCAACACTCAGGCTCTTATAAGGAAATCATTATAAAAGCAGCTTCACTGTTTAGAAAACTAGCTCAGAAATGACCTCAATGAACCATTTGGTACCAACAGACTGTTGTAAAACTCACATGATGCTTTACTAAAAATGTATTGCACAAAATACACATTATAACCATGTAAAATACAATCATGTCCTTCTTACACTTGAAAGGAAGGGTTAACGGCACTTAGCCAGGCGGGTTGTTTTGGTTTATGTGCCAGGCTTTCATATACTGAGATATACACCCCAGAAATGGAGATGACATTTTTTCACATATTGAAAAACTGGATTTGAATAAGACAACAGCAGTATGTTTTTCAAGAAAAAAATGTCCCTGTTACTCTGAAAAATCACCAGTTCTCAAAGATGTTTTAACCACAGATAAGAACGTATCTCCCTAAAGAAAAGTGCTGACATCTGTGGATTATTATGTGGCGTTTATCTGCATGAGTAGGCAGTAGTCAGCAACCAACAACAGCTAACTTACTGTAAAATATTACTCCTGTTGAAACACTGAATTCACAATCTGACCCGGCAGGTAATGAGCTGATAGTTAGGACTCTAAATGATTTAAGTTTTACTTTACTTACTACAGAAGTTGCAGAGAGCAACTTTTATTTTTCTTTCTTTTTAATCCCTAAAAGGTTGACTTCTCCAATTGGTGTGAAATCCTTCAGTCTGTGAGTCCCACACAGACTCACTCCACCCTTTAAGTACTGTAAGTGACTGCACAGGAAACCCTTTCCGTCCTGAATGAAAGGACTCAGTCATGACGCCTGGGAGAGGAATGGGGTGCAACACACATGTGCGCTTGTACACGTTATCCAAACACACACATGCACAAATTGAAATCCTAAACACTAAAATAACATATATTGGCCTGAGCTCTCTGTTTGTTTTAAGCTAAATCGGAGCCTTGCATGTGTACACACACTTGGCCAATAAAGCTGATTCTAAATAAAGTCACTGAGGCCTTTCAATAACTTAAATTTATCATATTTTTGACATGATGGCTCAAAACTAGAAAGAAATGACAAAAAGTGAAAAATCAGTGCCACAAGATGTACAAAACAAAGATGTAATGTCAAATGTGCATCTTTGGTTCATTTTCTATTGCGTAAAGCAGCAGGTGGTGCTTTTAATCCAAACCTCTCCTCATGTAGACGACCCCTGAATGTGGCATCAAACTAGTTCTGTTCACACAATGTTCGGCTAATGTTTCACAACTCACCTAAACTGACGATACCCTGAACAAACCTCAGCTGCCTGTACTTCTTTGCCCGCCACTGCTGCAGGGCTGATACCAGCAGACAATATTCACAGCTGACATACTTACAAGTTTAAATAAACTGAGGTTATTTTACAGAAATGCTCGCTCGCTTTGCTGCCCTGTTGTGTCAGCTAGCTAACGTGCGTCTGTGTGTCAGCTTCTATTACAGCAATAAACACAATTCAGACAGCATGAAAAAATAAACTGTATGTAGCAAGAAATGTTTTCACCTACCTCCGTGTCCTGCTCCAGAGTCAAAAATTGGCGTGGCGCCAGCCCACGACCCAGTAGAAGAAATGAAATGTGTTATTTGCCTAATATTTAGGCAGTTGAAGGCTAGAGGCTCCAGTTATTGGCTACCCCTCAGAGGAACCTACCAGCCCGCACAGTAAACATCGCCAATATCAACGCCAAATCATAACCAAAGTCCTCTGACCGTGACAACAACCTGACGTGAAATAATTTAAAAATATTTCACTGTCTTCATTTGTGCCCCCAGCCTAAAAAAATCCGTTGCTCTCTCCGTCTTTATCGCTACAAAATATGAAATAAGCAGCGCTGCTTCCTGACACCGTCGGGCTCATCAGACGTTCTGGCAACGCAACAGCGTAGCACCGGAGTGACGTTAGCGTCAACCAATCAACAACAAGAACAGAGGCATGTACTTCCCTCTGTCCAATCATATGTGGACTACTAGTGAGAATGGCAGGTGCATCAGCCAATGAGAAGATCCGGCCCGCCCCGCGAGGGTTGTCGTTCAGCTGGCTAGCAAGCATTTGCTGCTATGAGGAATATACTGTACCTACAGTAGTTGTAAGCTTTGTTACATCATTTTAGTGGTTTTGCGTTGTGCACTGAAAATAATTAGCATAGTTCTGATACTTTTAAAGAACTGACTACATTGATATTACTGTAAAATAATTAGTTGGTTCACACATTAATGGCAATACCATATGAGCAAGAGGGTATCTAAGGTCAAGAAAAGGTCACATTGTGATCAAAATACAAACTGCAGGTTTATAATTAAAATCATTGCATAAGAACCAATCAGGAAGGAAACTAAAATCATAACTTATGTTACAATGTCACGACTATTCAAATATGAAAGAGAAGCTCTATTCTCTTTATACCCTCTGGACATTTTATAGAGCTGTGTACATTTGCCTTAAAACAATAAAGCAGATAAACAGCCATAAAGTGTGATAAGAGTACACTCAGCTCTCAGACAGCTCACAGACACATCACAGTCAAATTCTAAGAAAGCTTTTTGTTAAAGGCAGATCTGAGAATTTTGCTGTTAACCGATAACTGCAGTTTCACAAGACTCATATGATGAACATTGGCCTCTGCAGGTTGTGTTTTCATGCTCCAGTATTATTAGAACACAGAAAGTCTGAAGGAAATTGACTCGTTTCCTCCAATATTCCCACCAGTGACGCTTAGAAATATACTCGTCCGATCTGCATTCTTTCATTTCCTGGCAGGCTGTATATCCCAAAGGTCTATAGGACAAAGAACACATGTACGCCGCAAAAATGACCCGAATTGCACCTGAAAATGCCGATAACACCCTGTAACATAGACAACAACATTTTGTTGACAAAACACAGAAAAGAGCAGATGACGCTGGAAGGTAAAGTTTCCCCGTCATAAATCTCCTTATTTGGATGGGTTGAGTGCTTTTACTGTTCGGGCCATGATGTCAACATGCAGAGAGGAGGGTGGACCCTGCTAACACGTCTGGGTGTGGTGTCCAGCAGACAAGGCTGTTTTTATATTTCTCACATCAATGGGGCCCACTGAGCTGTGACACAGCACCTATATTTAGATTTGGGCTATAAACTCTTTGGCCGGCAGCCTACGCTTCGCAAAGTTCAATCTTGATTGGATTCAGACCTCTGAGGTGCGATTTTAACAAAATCAAGAAAGCAACACACATCAATGTTGATGTGTGAGAATATTGTCAATGTGAAGGTTTTCACGTTAAAATAGCAACGTTCCCTTTTCTTAAGGTTAATTATCTTGTCAGAGGATGTGGAACCAAGGGAGATATTGTGTTGGATTCATTCCAATAAAACAAAAATCACAAAAAATAACAAATAAATCAAGTATTATTGCCTCTTGAGTAAATAATCTTGTACCTACATGATCTAATTAGGCTGCTTTGGCTGTAAAAGTACAAGATGAGAAGTACAAGCTAATGCAATTCAAGTGCTGCCATTTTAATATATACTACATATCTCAAACTGCATCTAGTCTGGATTTTGATTTCTCATTGTAAAAGCTACATTTTGTAGGATTCTCAGACACATACACTTTTAAGTCATCTGCTGTCTTCTCTGTGTTCCCCCTCAGTCTTGTACTGTTTTTTCCCATCCTATTTTTATCTTTTAAAAGTCACGAAATATACCGAAACCAGAGTTTACTTCCTCAAAAAGCTGACATTTTAAAGACGCATGTTCTTCTCAAGGGTCTTTATGTTTTCCTTTAAAGGTCAGATGAGCCAAAGTGTGGCAATTCTGAAAATGAGATAATTTCAGCAAAAGTGCTGAGTGCGTCATTCATCAGAGGTCATGTTTTCTGTTGGGAAATATTTGATCATGGTTCTTTTAATGCCATAAACTGGAAATGATAGTGAGATGAATAAACCTCTTCACTTGTGACCACATACTACGACAGTAAGCATCATCCACATTGCTGAGACAGAAACGTTTGTCTCATTTAAAAGCAATCTGAAGAATGCATGAAAACCGTTGTGTAAAACATGTAAATATCATGCTGCCGTACTTGCGAGTTAACAAATAGAAAAACCCAAAGTGTTTGTCCAAAGTTTATTAAAAAAAAGGAAAGACTCATCAGCCGTGGAGTTACAGTGAGCTGAGGCCTGTAACTGTTTAAAGCAGACTGAGGAGTGAACATGAGCTAAGATTATTTCATTCATAAATATCTACAACAGACATCAATATACAACATATACTGTACAGAAAACATACAAAAATGACAGATCAGACTCTGCAGGGCTGAGAGAAAGTATTTTTCTAAACTTCCTGTGAATGGATGCTGTGTTTACTCACTTACTTACTTAGAGGGCACAAGAAAATATCATGAAAGAATCCTATTTCTCTCCTCCATAGAAAACTGGTTAGCATTTAGATTTTCACTCAGACACATTTGACACGCTGAGCTGTGTCTGAGAGTTTTGAGGCTTGTAGTTGGTGTCAAAATAAACAGTCAGAATATGAGCGAAATGACTGAAAATTGTCCGAAATGGCATCCTGCCCCGTCAGGACTCGGCTGGTGACGGCTGGCTGGGCGCCCCGTTGCGAGTGCGGAGCTGAGACTGGGCGATGTCGGCCAGAGCGCTCTGGATCTTCTCCAGCAGCATATCGCCGCGGTAAACCACCTCCTCCAGACGAGCGGCTGCTTCGTGGTTCTCCTCCTCCAGCTGCCGCAGACTGGCCGCCTGATGAGAGGTCACAGCCAGTCAGAGTCAATTACAGCTGTTCTTTCCTTTTCCTTTTTCTGGAGCATCAAATAATTGATGCTAAAATGTTTTTTTGTTTTTTTTTTCTTCCTAGAAATGACTACTTTAAAATGCAGTCTGAGTGATTTTGTAAAGCAGCCATTAAAGCCGCTTTCCTGTTTTTGTAGGCATTTGTGGCTTATTTAACGAGAATGTGAAACAGTTTGTCTACTCTGTTTCACGGCTCAGTAGCTACATATCAGACAGTGAAAAGACTCCGTGTGTGAATCAAAGGCATGCAGAAAGTCTCGTGGGGCTTCCCCCTGCAGCCGATTATCTCACTGACAGCTTCTTATGAGCGACTTTTTTGCCTGAACACACTACAGGTGTGACTTTCTGTCCATAACACATGGCCTTAACCATAACAGTCATACATGTTTAACCAGAAACTGAGTCTGAAGAACAATATTGATACAGAAAGCTCCACCCTGAAAGTTCACACCACTGCTTCCCTAAATTCGTAACGTATGAAATCCTGGAAGTCATAATTTGTTTTTGAGATTTTCACGAGTTTGCTGCAGTTCCAAGGTGGAAATCAAGGTGAACACTGCTTCCTATTGGTCTCATGTTCTCAGGCAGAATGTCTTAAAGATGGCAGCATGTGAGGGAGCTGTGTGGTTGCTGTAAAAAGGAGCATCAAGCTCTTTATAAAACATAAAATTACAGATTATTTTTTTTATTTTTTTTAAGTGTTGATGAGTTTTAAGGATCTGGATAAACCTACGCTGCGATGGCATTAGTTCTCCTGCACTCTGCACTAACGTACAGAAACCTGGAGAGAACGTCTTGACTCTCTACAGCGTCTATCAGCTACAGGGAGCTGTCCTTTATGGAAAGTTTACATTTCCATACCTTCCCCTATACTTCAGACATGCACAGTGCCTTTACAGCGCACCGATTAAGATCCACAATCATGGGATTGGTGAGACTAACTGGAGGGACTGACATCATCTATTGACTGCACACCATATAAATATAATCTCCTCCTGTTACTCACACAGACTACCAGACATGGTGTTGATCTTTCCCCTCTTGAGCTGAAGAGAATAAAAGATCAAAACAAATCTCTTGTGTTTTGTTGTTATTTGCTGATAAAGGCAGCTTGTAATAGGATTTAGGTCTAAAAATTTAAATAAGATTTTATAAGTTCCTTTCTCTGGGTGCAAAAATGCAATGTTTAGATATGTTTGTGTTGGAAATGATCATTTGCAGCACTCAGCTATAATAGGAAACTTGCCTTCATTAATTTATTTTTAGGTGACGTAAACTGGAAGCCTTCCTTAGAGGAAGCATAACGGTCTGTGCCAACATTATTATTATTGTATACCGATATGGCATGGTTTGTAATTGTAGATGTTAGCTGGCCAACGGGTGAGCTAAAAAATACACAGGATGTGATGCTCACTTGATTTATTTAGCCATCCTAATAAATCACTCCATAAATACATTGACTGCACGCTCATATGACTTGCATTATTTTTTATCCAGTTACCCCGAGGGAGTCGAGTCTTCTATTTCTGGGAGCAATCAACACAGAGCTGGCACCAACTATACCCAACATCTTCCAGGAGAAACAAAGAGGCAGTTCACTCAAAGACAGCGTACAAAAACACACTGACCCGAAAATACCGACTGCATTAAATATTTCTCTTATTTCCGTTATATTTGAATTTCACAACTGGTGTACTCAAAGGAAAGCACTTGATTCAACAATGTTACATTTACTAGAGATATTTTGATCAAAATATAATAAATGCACTTTTCCACTTCAACAACTTGTTTTATCAACAATGAGCCGACATCATTTTCCTTTTACCAGTTATGAGTCTTCAGTATTTTAAACTGCAGAATAAGCGATCATCTGGCTCCCTCTGCTGACTGAAAGCTACAAATGCAATGAGGTCCTCTGTGTGTGAGAGTGTCTGCAGGTTTAGTTTTCTCCTTTCAGGCACAGAATCTGTAACAACCAACTCGTGCTTACCGCATGACCAATGCAGACATTAAAAGCGGACGCAGTTCTGTTCATACTACAGTGCATCGGTCCCACATGCAGATGTTTGCTTTCCCCTGATATCAAGGACAGAACAATACTCAGGGACCCGTGGATGTTTCGAAAGGCTGGTTGTGATTTTGCACTGTTGGCAGGACATAGCAGCTGGTTACAGAGCTGGTTGTAGCACTCTGTTAATGTGATTATTCCTGAAGTGTGCCGACCAATAAGGGCAGACAGAATACAAGATTTCTGGAATTGTACAACTTTCAACTGCATTTGTGCATCATCAATGAAAAGCATGTACAAATAAATTACCTGCAAAGTTCTGCAACAACTACTTCAATTATAATTCTTTTAGAGATGACATATAAAGATAGATAACAATATCCACTTTCGGCACATGTGCAGTCTGCAAGCTCCAAGTGTGCTTGTCAAACAGTCACACATTTCGCTGCAGGTGGTCTTGGTTGGATGATGAAGTTCAAGTCACACAGACATTTACAGACATGTAGACGTGGAAAGCTTAAATTGGCCTTAAGTAAAATGCATGACTGAGCTGTGACTGACATGTGCGAATGTGCTCACCTGCAGAGCTGCTGTGGATTCCTCACTGGGCAGAGAATCAATTAGTACATCCACGTCTTTGGCTGTTCTGGCTATAAGAGCTGCAAACAGCTGGGCATATTCTAGACAGAGATTTAAAAAAACAAAAAACAAAAACAGAAACTTATGTTAAAGAAATGATGTTTCTCCTTCCTGTAGGTCATTACCAAACAAACAATAATGGTAATATTAAGAGAAAAGCCTATACGTGTGAACAAAAGAATAGTCATTGGGTATAGAGTCAAATGTAAACAAGACATGAAGATTATTTTTTGGTTTTTCCTACACTGATTCCAGTACCCAAAGTGTGGCTGTTGTACTCTGATAAACGGTTTGTATCATCAGAATCAGAATCAAAAAGCTTTTTAATGCCAAGTGAGCTCAGACACACAAGGAATTTGGCGTGACGAATGAAACTGTGGTACACAACAATAACAAGACAGACAATAAATACAGAAATCTAGATCTAAGAAATAATCTAAATAAAATATATGTAAAAGAAAAGTACAGAAGTATATGGAAATAAGAGTACTGTGAAAAGAGACATCAACTTACCTAAAAAAAAAAAGTAATAAATTAGGAAACAGTTTAAATTACAATACAATATTGCACATGAGATTGAAAAATTGCAAATGTAATGGTAATGCACAGAGGCAGTGCAACAGGAGTCTTTAGCAGTTTACTGACTGTTCATGAGGGATATGGCCTGAGGGAAGAAGCTGCTCTGGGGCCGGGATGTTCTGGTACAAAAACATTGTCACTTTATTATGTATTGTTATATATTGATATGGATGTAACAGTTTATTGGTTTGGAATCACACAGATGAGATTAACAAATACTAGGTACTGAATGAGCAACAGGGAAGTTGTAGGAGTTATGAGCAAGGACGTGCAGGTATATCCTTGATGTGTCCTTTGAGAAGTCTTCTCTGCACTGGTAATGGTACAAGATGGGCGTGTCACACAAATAGAACATGCAAACCACTGCAGGAGCAGGACTGAAAAATGTGTGTTCACAATACACATCAAACAATCCTGATGTATACCCACTCTTTGTTTGTGTAGCACTCTGTGTGCCACACCTCTTCTTTACTTCATGACACTTTTGAGTATGTTGAATAAAATAATAATAATAATTAAAAAAAGAAGTATGACATCTGCACACTCTTGTAACAATATGCCACACTGTGAATGGAATCATAAGCTGATGCATGCTGTCAGTTGTCATGAACACTGTTCTGTTCATCTGACAGATCAGAAAAGACAGCAGCAGCAGACTGTGACAAAGTAATGCAGCTGTGTCACACATCATACTTACCTGATTAACTGAGTTTAACTGAGCTTAATTGAGCTTAGAAACAACAGCTCCGAGGCGATGATGTGTCATTTTGTTAAATACTTCTCATCTCTTGCTTGCCTCCTCCACTCGCATCTCAGTTGGAGGGACTGAGACGCGAGGAGAGGAATCGAAGATACAAACTGAATATGAGAGGAGGAGGGATATATCTTTATAATAAAAACAAACAAACCTTCGGTTGGGTTTGCTGGCTGATCCTTGTTGATAGCCGTCTGGATGTTACTGAAGGATGCAGGAGGCGCACATTGTTGCAGGACGCCGATGGCATTACAAAACTGATCGGCAAGCTGGACACACAAAACAATACCATGAATTGATCTCACGTTTATAAGCTAGCTGCTAATTTGGCCGTCAGTTTTCCACAAGTATAAACACAAACCGTTATGAAGTTCCAATAATTAAACACTGTCATATTTGTAGTAAATAGTTATACACACAATTTAATTAGTAGCTGAGGTTGTTCCTTGGTTTATTGACACGGGCCCCCTCTTCGTTAGCTAGCAGCTATGGTTAGCGACACCGTGATATAGCAGCGTTAACAAGTTACTAAAGCACCAATACCACAACTCTACTGTTTATACAAAGCTATCGCCTTCAAATGTTACAAAGAGCAAAGCTGTATGTATTTACGTCTCTATCTATTAAAGTACGTAAGAAATCTTCAATATTTGCCTTACCGAATTGACAGCGTCTTGAAGTTGTGTTAGCCGGTCCGCCATGTTTTCTGTAGTGACACAAAATCCCGTTTATCACCGCGAGGGTATAAGCACAAAGTCTCGCGGAATTGGACGGTATTTTGGAAGCTTTGAGTGGCAGGCTGACGTTTAGGTTAGCTGTAGCTACCTTAATCATCCCACGACTGGCTCTACGACCAACAAGGGACGTGTTTAAATCAATGAGGTCACATTTGCTGACATTACCTTGTGTTTTAGGAAGGAACGGAGCTGCACCGGAGCCTCTACTTGTTGCTCCTTGATGATGTTAGCCTGTAGCTAACGTTAGCTACCAAATATCAACAGGAAGTAACGGCTAGCTAAATTCCAATGTCTTGCACTGTGGCTTCTCCAGGTATGACTATTCATTCTTCAATTCATTGCCTAACATTAGATTGGAGGAAGTGTTTGGGATTCCTCTCGAAGAACGATATGAATCTGTTTGTATAATGCGTCTATAAGTGGATTTGCATGGCAGCTTTACTGTGATTACTTAGTGAGTTAGCAAAGATCTGTGTTTGTGCTACTGGTAGTACGTTACACCTAATTGAATCAGAAAACTTAGGTGCTTGCTCGTTCACTACAGCTGAGATGATAGTAGCTTACTAGTAAATAAGCTAGTAAATATATGACTGACAGCAAGGTGGTGTAAGCTTGAGCGAATTAGCTGACACAGCAGCTGTCATCCAGGGAATGAGGTTAGGAGGAAGGTGGGGTCAGCAACAGGCTACGTACATGATTTTTTTTTCTCGGTAGTATGCTGATATGTGTTGTCTTTGACTTTATCATACCGTGAGGAGGTTCAGTTAGGATCACCCTTAACTGGAAGGCAGAAAGAGGTGTAAAGGGTAGCTTAGATGATGAGCTATACTGTGCTATCTCTTGCCCAGTTTATCACCCAAGATAAAACCTGATCAAAATACAAAGTACAGATGTAATAGCAAGAGTAAAGGCTGGGCTCGACATTAACCACCGCCCTGGCATATCATAAACAGACTGTTGTTTCCTTGTCATAATGTGTTTACATTCCCAGAATTTGAGGCAATCATTACACACCCAGCTTTCACAATACAGTTCAATATTTTATTGATCTCATACGATAGAAAGCCTTTGTTATCATTGTATTGTGCATTAAGTGCATTTTAAGTGTATTGGGAGTGCTTCTCCTGGTTGGTACATTAATGCACACAGAGTAGATGTATTGGTTCATGAATTATGCAGTTATGAAGTAGGGAAACCATGTGTTTCTATCCAACATAGATTTCTGTCAGTTAGTTTTTTCACAGTTGCTCCAAATAAGGTTGAACAATTTGGGGAAAAATATCTGCAATTGTTCTGATTTGATTTGCAGTATAATAATTCTGCTTAATGTTCTCTTTGTAATAGATGAAAAGCATGTGATTTAGTGTGACCAAGAGACACGATCAAATATGTGACTCACACGAGGAGGATGGCATGAATTTGCAAATCTTTCGACATGATATTTTAAACCCTCGGCCAGACGCACAACTTAAATCATAATTTGCAGCCTTTGTGGTTTGCTCATAGCATTGTTTCAAATTGCGTTTTTTATTTGATGTTGATTAATTGTTCATCCTTAAGTGAGATTGTTATTTTCTTCTCATGTTGTATATTAATGTAATCTATCAATAATTCTGTATTATTTGAGACTGAAGAGAAATCATTAGCCAATGTTTTACAATACTGAATATTTTATTAGTAAATTGATTGGTCTGTGGACCAACTCAGTGCTCATTCTGCGAAATTATACAATTACAAAGTAAAGATCCCGTGTGTTTCTATCGACTGTAGATTTCTGTTGTCACTGAACTTCCTCATAGCTCCTCCTAATACGGGCCGAACGATTTGGGGAAAGTATCTGATTGTCTTTGTTGGACAGCTTTTGTGATTTGATTTGCAATGTCCTCTTTCAAGCTCCAGCTTCAGTCCAGGATTTACTGTGTAATAGATTAAAAGCCTGATGGATCATTACCACAAGATATAGCAATTAACTGATTTTAATTTGATTTGAAATAATGACATCTGCAAATTACAAAGGCTGCTGTTACATACATGATGCAACACGTCTCAGCCGGGCTTCAAACCGTCATGTCGATGTTTTTACAAATTCATCACATCCTTCTTGCGTGACAGTCACATTTTTAATGTTGCCTCATGTGATAATTCTCTATCACATGGTCTAAATCTATTACATTGTGAATATTGAACTGAAGCTTGCCTAAAAAAAAATCCCAAAAAACAGAAATCCCCTTCACACTATTCGTCAGAAAATTCTTTAAAATATATTTTCCCCAGATCACTCAGCTCTCCCATGAGATACCATCAAAAGTGTCAGTGTGACTGTCTCAAAAGGGGAACATCATGATCACACAGCAGTTTAAACCCTTTGATCAGACACGCTGCATGATGTTTATCTTGAATTGCAGCCTTTGTCATGTCCTAACTGCATTGTTTCAGATGATTCATTTTGATCTGAAGTCAATTCATTTTGCAGCCCTACCTCCTAATGAGGACTTGTATTTCCTCAGGTATGAACTGTACCTTAGAGAAGGTCCTGGCTGATGCCAAATCATTAGTGGAAAGGCTTCGAAACCATGACAACGCTGCTGAGATGTTAATTGAACAGACAACATCTCTCAACAAGCGAGTGGATGCCATGAAACAGGTAGAGTGGTCATTAAATACAAATGTTCTTTTCAGTTCGAAGTTAGTTAAAGGTAACAATGGTTAGAGTGAATCCTAAGGCTGAAAATACTATTTTATTTGATTTTTATATATGTTTTTAATTCAAAAAGCCAGCAACAGTATTATTAAAATGATGAGTGCTTGTTTTTTAGTTCTGATCCATCATAAGATATCCAACCAAGGCTTTTTGCTTGTTTGTTGGAAGTTTATCTGGTTATTTGTTGTTGGCAGTACCAGGAGGAGATCGACTCTCTGAACCAGGTTGCACGGCATCGGCCTCGTTCCAGTCTGGTCCTGGGAATCCAACAGGAAAACCGTCAGATCCGAGAGCTGCAGCAGGAAAACAAAGGTAGGCAGGAAATCAGTTATTATTCTATCACTGACCGACTGGGGCGCAATTTTGTTCCAGTTTTGTGGGAAAAATAACAAACAAACTCTGAATTTGTTGAATCTATCAAGCAGTTTGGATGTTGTTGATGTTGTTTCCCAGTGTTCCCCGGTAAACAAACCAAATCTGTCTGCATTCTTGCTGCAGAGCTAAGAACATCGCTGGAGGAACACCAGTCTGCGTTAGAGCTCATCATGACCAAATACAGGGAGCAGGTGTTCAGGCTTCTCATGGCCAGCAAGAGGGACGACCCAGCCATCGTCACCCAGCTGAAGGAGCAGCACACCACGGTCAGTGAGGCCCACTTGTTCCTTGAAGTTCCTGGTAATTCTGGGGAACATCAAGCTTTCCAACTTTTTCTCTTAAATGTAAAATGAAAAAATAATCGTCTACTTTACTAAACAAGTACACTAACTTATTAAATTCATTGTAATACTCTATAGAATATCTTTTTATCATAACACTGTCCAGACGTCCTTGGACTTTAACTTACATTTTGTTTGTTAATCATTGTAGGAAATGCAAGCACACATAGACAAGATCAACGAGATGGCTTCTGTGATGAGGAAGGCGATAGAGGTGGACGAGGGGCGGGTATGTGAAGACGAGGAGAGGATTAAACAGCTGGAGGTAAAAGCAAACATCCGACCCTGTTGCACCATCAGTCCACATGTCCCGAAGCTCTGAAACCCTGTTTACACAGAAGAGATACAGAGGAAGGGAACAAACTTTCCACACAAGTAGCAAATCAATACATAAGTGGTGAAATCACAACAAAAAACGTGTTCAGTGAGTTGATTTGTTTTTAGCTGTTTTTTAAGCCAAGCAATAGTTTTTTTCTGGAAACATGGTAAACTTTGGAAACATAATTTGTGGTGGTTGAAACTCTCTTAATATTTATAGTCTGTGATGGTTATTTTCTGGAATTTTCGATTAGTTCTTTGGTCTATAAATGTCAGAAAATGCCAAAAATGTTCCTAATTTTTCTTCAAACCCCAAGAAGACAGTCTCAAAAGTCTTGTAATAAAAATCAAATCAAATCAAAACACCTGAATTTTCACATTGATAGAATACAGGTCTTAATCCAGCATTTACACAATTAGACAGTTCTCCTGCAGGGGATTGTTAAAGTGGTTCTGATTTAGAAAAGGACTTTCCCTTTCTCACTTGCATGTCCTCTTATTCCCCTTCTGCTTTTAGTTGTATGTCAGTGTTCAGTGTGCTTAGTGTTGAGCTTCTCCTTTCAGTGTCTTCATTAAGCGTTTTAGTGTTGCTTTGGCACAATGAGATAAAACAATGTAAATTAGTCATGTGATGCAACAAGCTTACTGATTGGCTCTGACCTGGCAGCCATGTGCAGACTGTATGTAATGGTTGTGGAAGGAGAAAGTAGTAAAGAAAGAATTATTCAACTTTGGAAGAAATAGCATTAAACCATACTTTTAAAAAAATAAAAATAATCGCCGTACTTGTTTTGACTGTCTATGTGACATAAAATACATCACAACAAGTCAATTTTGCTTGCAGCAAGAAACAAAAACATGGACATTTTTAGTGTATGACTGTAATTGTGAAAGATAAGTGTCAGATATTTGTGGCCTGTTAAATCTTTTATCTGCACCTGCATTTTTTGCTTTCTGTGTTTGAAATTACTGCTGAAATTTGGAGGTGGTTACACAAACTGAGTCCCAAATCCAGAGACGTCAACACGCAAAGTTAAAAATGAAAAGTCTGTGTTTGAAACCAGTGTTTTTTACAAGTCCAGAATGTGTGTCCAGCTGATGATGTGTGGTGATGTACATTGCTTGTAGCCAGTAAAACGCAAAGGTCCCTTACAGAAAAAGGCTGGAATTAATCAACAGCTTTACTAGTCGTATATTTTAAAGTATTTGCTCTGAGTCAGCTGGGATAGGCTCCAGCCCCCCCGCGACCCGAGTGAGGATAAAGCGGTGTATAGATAATGGATGGATGGATATTTTAAAGTGTCAGTATCGCTTCACCTGCAAGTAAGGTTGTACGTTTGTGTTTGTCTATTTCAGCTGGAGAACAGTGGACTCCGAGAGCTGCTGGGAATCAGTCGCGAAGCTTTCCTGGTGCTAAAGAGAGAGGACCCATCAGAGAGCACGTCGCTGTCGCCGCTGCTCACCAGCGCTGACGTCAGCTTACGAAAGAGTTAGAGCCCCGGGGTGACTCCCCAACCCTCCCCCTGCCCCTACTGCTGCCACTACAGTGTACAGTGTGTACAGTCTGTTGCCACATACCACTTCACCTTTCACCCTGCAGACTCTGCAGAGTCTCCCGGTGCGTTGACGGCACGATACTCCAGAGCTGCAACCCCAGTCTGGTGACTCAGACACAAGCGTCTTTCTCATTTTTATTTTTATTTTTTTTTGGTTTGTTGGTAATTGTGTAATGTTTGCTAATTTTGCCAGCATGCATGAGCCTGTGGTGCCTGAGAGGTTTTAAAGTGTGAATGAGTCAAAGAAGGGCTTGAGTTAAAAATAAATCTGTAAACATGAAACTGTGTCTGGTGAGTTTATATGGATTTACTTTAAAACATGAGACGCTGCAGATTCCCATGTTCCTTGTGGGGTTGTGGTGAAATGTGCGGGTTCACAACTTCTCATAAGTCCTCCCTCTTCGTGTTGTTGTCATTTACTGTCAACCTCAGCTAAAAAACAGGAAAAGAAACAACATTCAACACAGTGGATCTGCTCTAACGGCCGACCACCTCTTCTGCTCCCACTGGTGAAAAACTGTTTTCAGATCCTTTTTAGAAGTGAAAGTGCCAAACCACAGCGTAAACAGGTTCCACGTTCAGGAACGGCTACTTTAAAGTATAAACAGGAAAATGTACCACTAAGTATTAATGGTGGAAGCATCCAGTGCACAATTCTGCATTTGTCTGCACTATTACGTAATTCTGATTAGATTTATTGGTTATGCAATAATGTGTGAGATAATTTTTGAGTGTTTTGAACAGGTGTGCAACTGATAATTTTTTCTATTGCTTGATAAAGATTCTGACAAGTGTGAGGAACGCTCATTGTAGTTACCCTGAGATCTGAATGATAGCTTCGCAATTCAAACTTCTAATTAAAAAAAAATAAATTAACAGAAATGCAGGAAATCCTTACATTTGAGAAGCTTCAGCAGTAGTTAATGGTCTGTCTGGTGATTTATAAATAATT